AAGACACACAGACCTTTTCATACACATCTTTCATTTATTCATCTGCATCCTCGATGTCACCAAGGAGACAGCACACACACTGAAACAAGAAAATAACGGTAGAAGATTGTACGTATGATGTGATGTAATGATGTGATGTAACGATGCGTCAACAAAGAAACACACACCGTGCAGAGCTGAAGCAGCTCTTCAGTCTGCTTTGGGTAAAAGGAAATGCTTAAGTATCATCACGCTCGAGTGGCGTCTCCAGCGGCCAAAAGCTTATTTAATTCAGCCCCCTAAGCTTTTTTTAAACAGAGTTCCCAATTAATTTTTTAATTACTGCGCCGACTTGTTGACTCGCTCCTGACACTGGTTTTTAATTATGTTAATTTCCACACTTCTCATCGGCTCGCTCCTGCTGCTCGGGATGTTGAGTCAATGAAATGCCTTGTTGGCCTTGTGGCTACAGAGCAAAACACACCGGTTTACAATGGAGACACACACACTGTGCTCCCGCAACACTATGCACATCCACTAGTGCAAAGGAGCACACACACCCCGCTGTTTGGTTCTGCACTTGGGAATCAAACAGCAGCGGGCATTTTCACTGAGGGGTGTCCTCACTGTTGTTGCCAGCGGTTTAGACATTAACGGCTGTGTGATGTGTTATTTTGAGGGGACAGCAGATTTACACTGTTATACAAGCTGTACGCTCACTACTTTACACTGTTATACAAGCTGCACGCTCACTACTTTACACTGTTATACAAGCTGCACGCTCACTACTTTACACTGTTATACAAGCTGCACGCTCACTACTTTACACTGTTATACAAGCTGCACGCTCACTACTTTACACTGTTATACAAGCTGCACGCTCACTACTTTACACTGTTATACAAGCTGCACGCTCACTACTTTACACTGTTATACAAGCTGCACGCTCACTACTTTACACTGTTATACAGGCTGTACGCTCGCTACTTTACACTGTTATACAAGCTGCACGCTCACTACTTTACACTGTTATACAAGCTGCACGCTCACTATTTTACACTGTTATACAGGCTGTACGCTCACTACTTTACACTGTTATACAGGCTGTACGCTCACTATTTTACACTGTTATACAGGCTGCACGCTCGCTATTTTACACTGTTATACAGGCTGTACGCTCACTATTTTACACTGTTATACAGGCTGCACGCTCGCTATTTTACACTGTTATACAGGCTGCACGCTCACTACTTTACACTGTTATACAAGCTGCACGCTCACTACTTTACACTGTTATACAGCTGCACGCTCACTACTTTACACTGTTATACAAGCTGCACGCTCACTATTTTACACTGTTATACAAGCTGCACGCTCACTACTTTACACTGTTATACAAGCTGTACGCTCACTACTTTACACTGTTATACAAGCTGTACTCTCACTATTTTACACTGTTATACAAGCTGTACGCTCACTATTTACACTGTTATACAAGCTGCACGCTCACTACTTTACACTGTTATACAGCTGTACGCTCACTACTTTACACTGTTATACAGGCTGTACGCTCACTATTTTACACTGTTATACAGGCTGCACGCTCACTATTTTACACTGTTATACAGGCTGCACGCTCACTACTTTACACTGTTATACAAGCTGCACGCTCACTACTTTACACTGTTATACAAGCTGCACGCTCACTACTTACACTGTTATACAGCTGTACGCTCACTACTTTACACTGTTATACAGGCTGTACGCTCACTATTTTACACTGTTATACAAGCTGCACGCTCACTATTTTACACTGTTATACAGGCTGCACGCTCACTATTTTACACTGTTATACAGGCTGCACGCTCACTACTTTACACTGTTATACAAGCTGCACGCTCGCTATTTTACACTGTTATACAAGCTGCACGCTCACTACTTTACACTGTTATACAGGCTGTACGCTCGCTACTTTACACTGTTATACAAGCTGTACGCTCACTATTTTACACTGTTATACAGGCTGTACGCTCGCTACTTTACACTGTTATACAGGCTGCACGCTCGCTACTTTACACTGTTATACAGGCTGTACGCTCGCTACTTTACACTGTTATACAAGCTGCACGCTCACTACTTTACACTGTTATACAAGCTGCACGCTCACTACTTACACTGTTATACAAGCTGTACGCTCACTACTTTACACTGTTATACAAGCTGCACGCTCACTACTTTACACTGTTATACAAGCTGCACGCTCACTACTTTACACTGTTATACAAGCTGCACGCTCACTACTTTACACTGTTATACAAGCTGCACGCTCGCTATTTTACACTGTTATACAAGCTGCACGCTCTCTACTTACACTGTTATACAAGCTGCACGCTCACTACTTTACACTGTTATACAAGCTGTACGCTCACTACTTTACACTGTTATACAAGCTGCACGCTCACTACTTTACACTGTTATACAAGCTGCACGCTCACTACTTTACACTGTTATACAAGCTGCACGCTCACTACTTTACACTGTTATACAAGCTGCACGCTCACTACTTTACACTGTTATACAAGCTGCACGCTCGCTATTTTACACTGTTATACAAGCTGCACGCTCACTACTTTACACTGTTATACAGGCTGCACGCTCGCTACTTTACACTGTTATACAAGCTGCACGCTCACTATTTTACACTGTTATACAAGCTGCACGTTCACTATTTTACACTGTTATACAAGCTGCACGCTCACTACTTTACACTGTTATACAGCTGTACGCTCACTACTTTACACTGTTATACAAGCTGCACGCTCACTATTTTACACTGTTATACAAGCTGCACGCTCACTATTTTACACTGTTATACAGGCTGCACGCTCACTACTTTACACTGTTATACAAGCTGCACGCTCACTACTTTACACTGTTATACAGCTGTACGCTCACTACTTTACACTGTTATACAGCTGTACGCTCACTACTTTACACTGTTATACAGGCTGTACGCTCACTATTTTACACTGTTATACAAGCTGCACGCTCACTATTTTACACTGTTATACAGGCTGCACGCTCACTATTTTACACTGTTATACAGGCTGCACGCTCACTACTTTACACTGTTATACAAGCTGCACGCTCGCTATTTTACACTGTTATACAAGCTGCACGCTCACTACTTTACACTGTTATACAAGCTGCACGCTCACTACTTTACACTGTTATACAGGCTGTACGCTCGCTACTTTACACTGTTATACAAGCTGTACGCTCACTATTTTACACTGTTATACAGGCTGTACGCTCGCTACTTTACACTGTTATACAGGCTGCACGCTCGCTACTTTACACTGTTATACAGGCTGCACGCTCGCTACTTTACACTGTTATACAGGCTGCACGCTCACTACTTTACACTGTTATACAAGCTGCACGCTCGCTACTTTACACTGTTATACAAGCTGTACGCTCGCTACTTTACACTGTTATACAAGCTGCACGCTCGCTACTTTACACTGTTATACAAGCTGCACGCTCGCTACTTTACACTGTTATACAAGCTGCACGCTCACTACTTTACACTGTTATACAAGCTGCACGCTCACTACTTTACACTGTTATACAAGCTGCACGCTCACTACTTTACACTGTTATACAAGCTGCACGCTCACTATTTTACACTGTTATACAAGCTGCACGCTCACTACTTTACACTGTTATACAAGCTGCACGCTCACTATTTTACACTGTTATACAAGCTGCACGCTCACTACTTTACACTGTTATACAAGCTGCACGCTCACTATTTTACACTGGAGCAAAGCGTCATTTCATCAGTACCTGCACAGTGAATTAATTCCCCTCATCTTCCTTCTCTTTCTCCACAGAGCTGAAAGAAGCAGGACCCCGACACCGGCTCCTAGTACCGTCCCACCGTCCACCCCCAAACCCAACCTCCCCTCGCCCCTCTCACAGCTCCAGGGCTCTCCAGGGGTTCCTCTCCGGGTTCTCCAACGGGTTCTCTGTGGTGTTCTGGAAAGCTCCATACGCCTCGGGGCCTCGGACCTTCATGCGTCTCCCAGCGACAGAGTCCACCCACACCTCCACCCACCACACCACCACCACCGCCGCCATGAACTGTGAGCAGGAGTTTGGAGACGGGGCCATGGGAGTCACTCTCACGCTGCGCCTCCTCATGCACGGAAAGGTGAGCAGAGAAGGACACGTTCAAATGGATTTACAGGACAAGGCTCTAGATTTTCTGCCCACGCACAATGTGTCTGTCTCTGAAGACGACAACGGTAACCGTTTCTGTTTGTGTTTTCTCCACAGGAAGTAGGAAGCATTATCGGCAAGGTGAGTTTTTTTACTGCTCTTTTAGTTCACTGAAGGCAAAAGACAAAAGCCCGACCGGTGGGCCGTTAAAATGACCATGTGACCAGCAGAATATTATGGCTTTTACATCAGAACGAATCAAAGCACAGTTCAGATGATGGCGTCTGTGTAATGGTCATTAAAAAGCTTTTTTCCTCCCCCATCAATGAACCATGGTTTCTGCTGCTCAAGATTACATTGAGTGTAATCCTACTACAACCATGGAAAGTTGCCATGAAATATGCATTAATAGGGTGTAAAATTTCCAGTCAGGCCGTGTCACTGCGATCTCAGCGTACTGAAAGGAGCTGCTCTCCAGGGATGCGAGTCGGTTTAACTGTGGACGTGTTAAACAAACCCCGCAGAATATATCACAGCCAAGTGAAGTGTGAGGATGACCGCTGCCCTCACAGCACGTTCACTAACCCACGAGCCGAGCTGATTTCCTGCAGCATATTTTTACATTTTCCCCGTCCTCATCACTCACAGCGAGCGGCCTATTAGCTGCAGTGTCTGACATAAAGATGGCATGAAGATGACATCATTGCGTTGGGTGGCGTCAGGCGGTAGTCGCACAGCAGGAGCTGCTCTACAGGCCTTCCTCTCGTGTTACAGAGCTGCTGCTCCGGGGCGTCCCGGTGGCTGCTGAGTAACAGGCAGAAAGCATCGCTCGTTTATTTTCCTCAGGTGGTCCTGCAGTCTCCCGCTTCTCACTTGTTTCTCTTACAATAACAGCAGGTTTTATTGTAAGATGTCCTTAAATTCCAGATCACTTTCAAATCATTTCTTGGAAAGAATTGTGAAATTTGGCTCCAATTAGATGTAAAAACAGAGTCAGGTTGAGAGACTCGTGCACTGGTAAGCTACTGTAACCCAGAGTCAGTGCACAGCAAACAATGAGCTGGGGCCCCGTCCACACTACTACGTTTTTCTTTAAAACAGAGTTTTAAAACGAACACGATCTCCGTCCACAGCGGCGTTTTAGCTGCGTGTCAGAGTTGATCTCCGTCTGTATTAAAACGACTAAAAAACACACATCTAGTGGCCGTTCACGTACTCTGGGCACCGGTGTAAACATGAAGCAGAAGGTCTGTTCTGTAGTTACAGCAAAAGAATAAAGGAATGCAGAGGAGTGACTGTGGCGGCGGGAAACATTCGCAAAGTAAATACGGAGACGTGCACAGTACAAGTGTAGAAGTGTTATTTACACAGTACAACATATTTTAATAAAAACACCACAACTAAAACTCTGTCTGCAGCATTGTGTTTCTGCTTTGCATGACTGATAAGAGCCAATCAGAGAGCCAGACGTGAGCTCAGTTTTTGTCCGTCCGCACTAGAATGGCGTGATGGGGCAGTGGATAAGACACATGCCTTTGGTGTGAGAGACCCGGGTTCAGTTCCCACTGAGACCCATCCACCAATGTGTCCCTGAGCAAGACACTTTGGATAAAATGTAATTGTAGGCTGGCTGGGTTGGGCACTATGTCATTGTGCAATAAGTAGGCTATCGGGGTTATGCAATATGTTAGTCGTGTCACACAAGGGCTGTTGGATTGTTCAGTATGTCATCAGGTTATTTCACAGGTTATGTGAAATGTGTCATTTGTGCAATACGTAAGCTATTAGGGGTGTGCAATATCTCGTTGTGCTACATTGCGGGGAATGCAGCCGACAGGGTTATTCAATCAAAACTGGCATCAGAAGGAGTCACTGTGCTACTATACAGGGAACTGTCTAATGTATACGACAGCATGTGTTGTGTTGCATGAGAATATGTGTGAGAGATGTTTTATTTCTGTATTTTGTGTTGTCTTGTAAAGCTGCAGAACGGAGTGCAAAACAACTTTCCCTTCGGGGACAATAAAGTATATCATATCTTATCTTATCTAAGACTCTATCTCGGAGTCTTAAAATGGAAAACGGGGCAGCGTTTTCAAACTTCTCCGTTTTAGGTCTTCGTTTTCGCCGTTTTGGTCTGGACGGGAGGAGCAAACGTAACAAAATGTCTCCGCTTTAAAACGAAAACGCAGCAGTGTGGGCGGGGCCTGAAAAATGCAATAAAATATCAAAAAGTTTCCAGTAAAAACTGAAGGATTGCTAAATATTTGCTTACAGTTATTTCACGGATGATCAGCAGATTAATTGCGTGTGAGGGTTTAGAGGGAGAGCGTTATAACATCTGAACATGAAATCAGACTGACAGACCAATCTCCGGAATAAAGAACATAATCCCTTAGCTGCCACTAACAGTCTGAGAGAGGAGGTCGGTGTGGGCGGCCGATGAGTCCCAGACACACAAAGTTCGCACTGGTGTCTTTACTCAAGCCGACCTTAAAGATGCACCGTGGAGTTTTCTTCTTCCTCCTTCTGGTGTTTGTTGGTGCAGCGCTGTGTGGATCCACAGCCGGGGGAGAATAACTGTGATGCTGAATATAAACCAACGATAAGTCAGGGTCAGTTATCTAATGCAGGTACTAGATAACGTTCAAATGAAAACCTGGCCTGTTGTTTGTGAGAAGGCCTTGAGGCGTCATCACTGAACATAAAACGCCTTTTTCATCTTTCACTCTGGTGATAAATCTGCATTATTATTATTTTAATAAAACCCTTTGTAAACAGCTGTGTGTTTCCTGTCCTTCCACAGAAAGGGGAAACAGTGAAGAGAATACGAGAAGAGGTAAGACCTCCCCCCCCCCACCCTGTATCTCCTCTCATCTCTGTCCATCTCCCATTAATCCACAATAACAGCCCACATGCATCCTGATAATTACGCCACCATCAGAAAGCAGTGCAGTTCTGTGCAAATCCATTCTAACACTGGGAGAAACAGGAAGCACGGGCACCGTTTAATAAATTTATGTACTCTGCTGTACATAAAAGGTGCTTTTATCCGAATCCTAACCACAGATTCAACAAGAGCAGAAACCCGTCCCCCTGCATGTGGATCCCCGTCATGTCCACCTGTTTATAGAATGCAATTTAAAAATGTGAAGGTGTATTTTGTATTTTTGGCCGCCTGCTGGGATGTTAGCCATGTTGACGTGTACATATTTAGCCGTCTTCGCTGTCAGCCTGTAAAAGTGTAGCTCGACCTGGAGCTGTAAGCGTGGAGCTTCCCTCTGGAATATCTGTCTCTGCTTCCCGTCGCTTCAAGGAAACACAGATGCAAATAGAGAGAAAGACAAAAGGCGAGACTTGAGGGAGAGAGCCAGAGGGACGCTGAGACAAAAAGTCAGTGAGAGGTGACAGAATTACCCGTGAAGCAGGAAGTAAGAAGGCCGGTGTAAGAAAACGTGTGATGAAAAGCATCAGCAAAACAATAAACATGCAGAAAGCACGACATTTATTAAAGTGTAAGCCAACGTATCATCATCAAGAGCAGTGGGTGAAATGAAGATATCACTGTGAGTCAGCTCGGCAGAAATGAATGCAGCATTATTATTGCAGCGTATCTACTCTTTGTTAATAAGGTTATGAATAATAATATTCGCAAATATTATATCAAAAACACTCATCTGAATTTCCGTTTGCCCTCAGGACGCCTGAGGTATGGCTTAATAATGGAAGAGAATATTGTGTACATGTAAATATATAAACTGACAACATAAAGATATACAACAACAAAGATCAACAACAAATATGTGCGACGAGATGAAACAGTATTTACATGTGCAGAGACTTTTGTATCATTTGATGAGGCTAGTCGCAGATGGGAAGAAACTGTTTTTGTGGTGAGAGGTTTTGGTCCTGATGGACCGCAGCCTCCTGCCAGAGGGGAGAGTCTGACAACAGTTTGTGTCCGGGGTGGGAGGAGTCAGCTGCAATCTTTCCTGCTCGCCTCAGAGTCCTGGAGGCGTACAGGTCCAGAAGAGAAGGAAGATTTCTAGCCAATCACCTTCTCTGCAGAGTGAATGAGGCTGCAGCCTGCCCTTGTCCCTGGCAGTGGCAGCAGAGTACCTGATGGTGATGGAGGAGGTGAGGATGGACTCCATGATGGCGGTGTAGAAGTGCACCATCATTGTCTTTGGCAGGCTGAACTTCTTCAGCTGCCGCAGGAAGTACATCCTCTGCTGGGTCTTCTTGGTGAGGGAGGTGATGTTCAGCTCCCACTTGAGGTCCTGGGAGATGATGGTGCCCCGGAAGCGGAAGGAGTCCACAGTGGTGACTGGGGAGTCACACAGGATGATGGGGGAGGGTGGAGCTGGGCTCTTCCTGAAGTCCACGACCATCTCCACTGTCTTCAGAGCGTTGAGCTCCAGACTGTTCTGGCTGCACCAGGTCCCCAGATGGTCCATCTCCCACCTGTAGGCGGACTCATCCCCACCTGAGATGAGCCCAGTGAGGGTGGTGTCACCCGCAAACTTCAGGAGCTTGACAGACTGGTGACTGGAGGTGCAGCTGTTGGTGTACAGGGAGAAGAGAAGGGGGGAAAGAACGCAGCCTTGAGGGGAACCGGTGCTGATGGTCCTGGAATCAGCTTCATGTGCTGCTTCAGTGACCCACCTGCAGGTGGAGTCAGGCACGCTCAGCTGAGAGAGCTTGTCCTGCAGCAGGGCCGGGATGATGGTGTTAAAAGCAGAGCTGAAATCCACAAACAGGATCCTGGCGTAGGTTCCTGGGGAGTCCAGATCAAGCCGCCCAAACGCAGCTTAAGAGAGAGAGAGAGAGAGAGAGAGAGAGAGAGAGAGAGCGTGCGCCCACTGCGCTGTGTATTTGTCTACTAGGATGATGGCTTTATTTCCTCTGAGATTCTGTGTCTTAACTTTTAATATGGTCTTAAAGCCTAAATACCTTTCCACAATCAACTCTTAAATGTCATAAACATTATGCAGTTCTTAGTTTTAAGCATTTGATAAAAGGAAAGAAAAGTTATTGTTAAACATTTCATAGGCACACAGCAGATGAAAGAGCATCTTAACTAAATTTACTGTTGTTAAACATTCTTGTTTAAATATATAAGAAAGTTTCAAGAACCTGGCATCGGATTACAAACACAGAGTAATATAAGTTAAGCACAAGGAGAGGCAGTTAGAACAATGGCATGTAATACTTCTTTTGTCCCCTGGGGGGACACTGGTGGTTAGGGTGGACCCCGCCTTTCGCTCGATGTTAGCTGGGATTGGCTGCAGCCCCCCGGGACCCTGTACACGGGGATAAGCGGTTGACGATGGATGGATTAATTCTTGACTCAGGAGTTGGGAAAATTGATTATTTAATGCATGATAATATTTCTGTGCCATGTCATTTCTGAAACAAAGCATTAGTTAAACATAGAACGCAGGCAGGAACGTAACTGAGCCTCAGGAGAATGAAAAGCACTTTAAATTAACTTTCTTTGTGGTTCCTTCTTTTCAACATAGTTTCTGACAAGAACAACATGGTAATTAAACTACTCAAAACTGAAGTGAACGACTAAATAACTGTTCTAGCTTATTTAGCTAAACAGAGCAATAAGGCAAGTTTATAATGCTGTCTGCTTTTCCTTATCAGTTTCACATCGGCGTGAAAAGGGACAGGGTTCTTTGATGTCTGAGGTCATTTGAAAAGGGGGACATCGTTACCTTGGTTACCTGTCCCTCTGCTCGTCCTCGTCCAAAAAGGTCCTGGCAGCCTCAGGATGAGGTTAGTCTCTGGACAAGCTTGATGTTGTCATGTTAACAGTCATGCATAGAGTCCGTTATCTCACCTTCACCGGAGGGGGTGGGTTTTATGGTCGAAAACAGCACTTGGAGTGGAGCAAACCTTTCACAGCCCTCCTTTGGGTATTTAGGGCCTGGAGTCAGCCCGTCTGTTGAAGGGTTGGTACACTACATTATATTATGACTAGTGAAAGCTCAGCTGGCTGGCGTGTGACGAGATCTCGGGAGATTAAAATGTGATGCGACTTCTCGTCTCGCAAGACTCAGACAATCGGCACTTTTCTCACGCAGTGAAAAACAAATGTGTAACTGATAACGTCGACTCACAGAGCGAATAAACTCCGCCCAGCTGATGCGACACCGGCGTACGCCCTGACAGTAATCAAATTAAAATAAATTCATTTCTCATTGAGGTGAAAAGCAGCCACAGTCACATTTAATCATCTTACCCCACTCTACCCTAATTCAACATTGAAGATTATTTAAATAAAATAGTGTTGAAAACTGGTCTCGTGAGTGTCTCGTCACAACCCCGGTGGCCCACTGGCCCACTGGCCCTGCGAGCGACGACATAACTACTGCCACTGACCTACACCTTTAACCGTGGTAACCGTGCAGAAGACAGATGGCGACAGCTGTAGCCTGAACACGACATCTGAGATCAAAATTCCACAGATGACAACTAGCCTAAAAACATCTCAAAGTTATTTTCACTATTAGAAACTAATTTACATTTTTATCAAACGAGTAAAACTAGATTAAAATCAGGAGCCAAACATCGGGTGGAACCCTGGACCGTCAGGTCGCTCGCTGCAGCTGGATGAAGACTCAACGTGTGGATCTATAACTTCTGACGGTCATCTCCATTTAATTCAGAACACGGGCTCATCGTGTTAAAGCGTGCAACACCTGACGTGACTAGACAGAGTATTATATACTGTAGGTTTATAGAGAGCAGAGGTGCAGAGATTCCCAGAGGACAGTCACTGTAAAGCCAATATTTTCCCTGTCCAAACAAACAGACTGAGACTGGAAGTCAGAGAGGAATGGATCAGTGAGCCGTGTGCTCGAGGAAAAATGTGCATGGGGGTGCATTTAATGTAAAACAGCTACCTCGGATTACACTGCAGAAACAAATCCTTATTGTTGGGTCCCAGAGAAAAAGCCTCTGAGTCAGAACAGCAGCAGCAGAAAGAGAAAAATATGTGAGGAAAGATTAAATTCAGATTTTCTTTAACAATGGAGCGGGGCTCAAAAATAGGTCACACAACTCCTTCCGGTGTTTCTCAAACAGAAAACAATCCTCCACTGTGTTTTAATGAGCCTAAATTATCTCAATTTAGTCCCCTGCTTGCCTGGAAAAATGCTAAATAATAACCCAGAAATCCACTCGGGAGGGAGGGAGGAAGGATTTTAGAAACGCTCGTCCTCAGAGAAATGGTTTGATGACTGCACATGAATCAGCAGCGAGCAAGGGAATAAAGAGGGAGGGAGGGAGTTATGTTCCCGTTTATCTGTCAGGGGAATTTGAAGTTCACTTGTGAAATGGCACAAAAGATATTATGTGAATCAAGCGCAGGATTTCAGATCGTAGGAGTCATTTTTAGAACAAATTCTAAAGTCTAACTGCTCTTACTTTAAACCCGACTTGTCAAGGAAGCATCCTCATTAGCGATCTGTCTGGGTGTTGTGTTTGTGTCCTACTCTGGGCTCTGCTGCTGCAGCTCCTCTGTAAGAAGCGAGTCAAACACAGCGAGTCTCCTCCCGTAACATTACGGCTGTTCACAGCATGACGCCGAGCTGCAGTCTGGACTGATCAGAGCTCTCTGGGACTCCAGGAAAGATCAGTGAACACATCCGGTTCAGCCACGTGCTGCCTGACCTGCTGTCAGTCTCCTGATGTCCTCTGTGGGTCCCTGCAGCCCTGATGATGATGCAAGGTGATAGGGCTGCACAAAGTTATTAATTCAGAGAATACTGATTATGATTTTAGTTTCCCGCAATTAAATGAACATGATCGAGTGTGATGTCGCCGTTT